AATACCAACATGGGCCAATGAAGCAATGTCCTCCACAACTAGACTGAAGAACAAAAGGACAGCAACTTGTCTGTTCCCCTTCTGTCACCTTGCAGCTGCCGATTAGAATGCTCCTGCACACTGCTCCCACACTGCTCCTTTGAAGTCATAAGGAAGTGTCTTGGAATGCTTAAGACCCGAGGGAATGATCCCGGTAAAGCTTCCTTATCAGGTGATCTCGGAATGCTGACACCATCCCGGGGATCATACTCATGTGTGAAAGCACAACTCGTGCTTAATCACAATGAGTTTCCTTGAAGCAGCTGCCAGTCTAATTGAATCAATTAACTGGGTATAGATATTCAAATTGACCTCCTTGTGACTGTTGTAAATAAAAGCTTTACTCCGGCCAGTATCAGGGCTCGATCTTTCAATGAGACCCCCAGCCCAGCCCGCAGAAACTCTACTTTTGACTCTTGTGATTTCTTAACCCTTCACTGCCCCTCCTCGAGCCCCCCAGCCCTTGTCACGTGGGACGTGATATCCTGTGACCATGCAGAACTCACTAATTACTTTTAGGGAGGTTTTGTTGTTTTTCTTTGCTTTGTTTTTTGTCTTGTTTTGTGTATACTCTTTGGGATGTTCTGTGCAAACAATCATATCTATTGCAAATAGTGATCCTTTTCTTTCTTTCTTTCCAATCTGAATGCCTCTGATTTCTTTTTCTTGCCTTACTGCATTGCTAGAACTTCCAATACAATGTTGAAAAACAGAAGTGAAAACAGACATCCTTGCCTTCTTCCCAATTTTAGAGAGAAAGCATTCAGTCTGATAGCATTAAATATGATAACTAGAGAATTTTTATAGATGTTCATTATCAAGTTGAGGATGTTCCCCTCTATTCCCAGTTTACTGAGAATTTTTATATTGAAAAACTATTGGATTTTGTCAAATGTTTCTTCTATATCAATTGATACGATCTCGTGATTTTCTTTTGCCTACTGGTATGGTGGATTACATTGACTGGATTTCAAATATTGAATTAAGGTGAGTTTTAAAGGACAAATAAGACCTAACCAGCCATAAATATAAAACCATTTGTGTTTATTTGCTTAATGTCTATTTCTCCTTATTAGACTACCAGCTACATGGAGGTATGGATTATTTATTTTTTTCAAGACTACATACCCAGTACCAAACCAGCATCTAGCACACAATAAGCGCTCAATGAATATTTGTGGAAGGGAATGAGGAAAGAACAGAATACACAAGTACACTGCCATGAGTGTATATGCATTAGGGAAATGACCAATCAGCCAGGGTAAGCAGAGAGGATGTTGGGTGGCCAGAAGGCAGAGCCCCTACCTCACAGGGTATAAATAAATTAATTCAAGATTCATCAAAGACCTAAACATAAAAACCAATGACCTAAACATGTAGCTTTTATAAGAAAACGTAAGAGAACATTTTCATAACTTGGAGTGGACAAAGGTTTCTTAGAACATAGAAAGCAATAGTCATTAAAGAAAATATTGATAAGAAATTTTTTTGAAAATTAAAATTGTATGTTCTTCAAAAAAGATCTTCAAGAAAATGGATAGGGAAGCCAAAGATTATGAGAAAATACTTGCAAAACATGAATATGACAGCTTCAATATGTAAAGAATTCCTATAACTCAATAATAAAAAGGAGAAACAGCCCAGTTAAAAACAAAAAAGTTCAACAAACACTTCAGAGAAGATATACAAATGGCTGATAAGCAAATACAAAGGTTCTTGACATCAATAGTCAGCAGGGGAATGCAAATAAAACCCAGTGAACTACACTATCATTATTATTACTATTATTATTATTATTATTATTATTTCTTCAGTAGAATAAAATTAAAAAGACTGACAACACCAAATATTGGCAAGATGTGGAACAACAAAAACTCTCAAACATTTGTTGATGACAGTGTAAAATGATATAACCTCTTCAGAAAAAATGTCAGGCAATGTTTTACAGAACTAAACATACACCTACCCCGTGACCAGCAATTCCAATCCTGGGTATTGAACTAAGAGAAAATGTCCACAGAAAGAACATTCATCGTAACTTTATTCCTATCAGCCCCAGACCAGAAACAGCCCAAATATCCATCAATAGGAGAATGGCTAAACGGTATATTCATACAATGGAATACCATTACATACACACACACACACACACACACACACACACACACACACACACACACACAAACTACTATACATGCAGTAACATAGATGAATCTCAAAAACATTATGATGAAAGAAGCCAGTCACAAAAGAGTATATACTGTATGATTCCCTTTATGTAAGGTAATATAACAGATAAACTAATCTACAGTTTGAAAAAAAAATCAAAACAATGTCTTCCTCCAGAAAGTGGGAGTGAAGACTGATCTTTAAAAAGGGCATGAGGGGACTTCTTAAAGTAGTAGTAATGTTCTGTATCTTTATAGGGGCTTTGAATTACACAGGTATATACATTTGTCAGAACTCAAAATCTGTGCCTTTCAATGTACGTAAATTTTACCTTTAAACAAACTATTAATTATACGCATTTAAGGAAAGTCTGCGACTTACTTTAAAATCTACCCAAAAAGAAAAAAAAGGATTAGCCTGTAGATGAATAGAGGGACAGACACATTGATATGTGGTAAGGAAAGCATAGTAACATGTTAATTATAAGAATCCAAGTGGAGGCTATTTTGAGGTTTACTGTAAAAAAAATTTCAAATTGTACTGTATATTTGAAATTTTTCATAATTAAAAAAAAAGTGGGAGAGAAGTAAGAATGCGATTGGATCAGTAATATAGGTATACCTGAGAGTATGGAGGGTACCCTATATTTTTAGTTTTCAAATCCTAGGGCTGTATGTAAGTGACCCAGGAAATGTTGGGGTGGGAGAGACGGTAAAAATTAAATAAGAAAAGTAGGGCACAGGTTCTCATGATACCTTAACAGTTTTACTTCTATAAACTGGCATTTCAGGCAAAATAATGGTAAGGGATCCAATGATGCAAAGAAACACACACACAAACAGAAAACCACTGCTGGAGGCGATAATAAATTTTATCCACAATAGTACCAGGGACCTCAATGAGTAGCAAAATACCCAGATTTTTTCCAGGAATGGCTAAGTAACATGCAGGACGGTGCATCATCTGTATATCACAGAAACAGAATACTGGAAAGGACACGGGAGATCAACTGGTTTAATATGGACTTTCCCGATAAAAAACATGGGTCCAGCTAAGAGATTTCCAGGGGAAAGGTCATCCCTGGGAGTCAGCAAGGTGGGTGAGGCCCAGGTACCCCCAGTTTACTGTTAACTCTTCCTCTTCCCACAATCCCCACAGCCCTGAAGAGTCTTTAATGAGATTTTCTAGTTATTTTGGTGACAATGTATTTGAAAAATAAGGTCTGTCCTTCATATGACAAAATGCTCCAAAAACAGAAAGTCCATTTTCTGCATAGCTGCCTGTGAAAGATTATAGGCCTATTTTCTGATATTGACGTTTATTTGAAATTCGGATTCTATTGTATAACCTAATATAAACTGTGGAGATAATTAATATAAATGTGAAAATCTCAGGGTGAAGTGGGAGAATGGAGGAAGGGAACATTCTTAAAACTCCAGCCACTTTCCTGTTTAGCACAATTAATTTTC